AATTTCACCACTGAGCTAAAAGGGTGTCTGGGGGCCATACTCTTGGGGTTTCTCCAGTCTCCTTTAGGCCAGTAAATCTGGTCTTTTTTTTTTGTGAGTTAGAATTATGCTCTACATCCTTCTCCAGCTGAAGGGGCTCTTTTTAAAATTACATTCCTAAATGGTTATTGTTGGTTTGTAGGAAACCTATAGGTTTTCTTCTCTTATTGCATGTTTTTCTCCAAGTCACCCTGTTACTGCTCTTTCTAGTTCTAATAATTTTTCATTTGATTCTATTGGATTTTCTAGATAACTATCATCTCTACTTTCCTTTTTTTTCACTTCCTTTTCCCATGTTTGTATTTCTGTCTCTTTTTGAGGGGCAGGGTGTGAGGAAGGTGTCTGGCATTAGTTAGGAGTTCTAACAGGATGTTGTGGTGATGTCTTGTTTTGCTTCTGAGTTTTTTTAAATGGGAATGCTTCTAAACTTTTAACATTAATTAAGATGTTTGGGGACTTCTGGTAGGTTTTTATCAAGCTAAAGATGTTTAATGTATTACTAACTTACTAAGACTTTTTATTAGAAATCGTTTTATTTTTTCAAATGCTTTTTCATTCAAGAGGATCATAGGGGAAAAAATAAATTACATTAATGGATTTCCTCATGTTGAGTTATCCTTATATTCCTTGAATAATGTTGTTGCTGTTGCCACCAAGTGGATTCCACCTGATGGTAAACACTACTAAATTGTGGCATATTGTGCTGGGATTGAATGATAATATGTTATTTAGGATTGCCCCTGTTCATTCAAATATAAGATTGATCTATAGCAGTTTTTCCCATGAGAGTTCATGGAGATCTGAGGATTTGTGAATGTATTCTTTAGGGTCTGCAAGCTCTGTAAGAAATTCTAATTTAATTTTAAATTTTATTGTTAAACTAAAAACATTAAGCATATTGTAGCTCATCTGCATGAGCCCCTTATAAGTGAGAACTGCTGTTTGATTTAGGGCCTGTGTACATTTTTTATTATAATCCTGGGTCCCAAGTGTAGGACAAATGACATTGTGGAATGAGGTATAAATAAACATTTTATGATTGTGTGAGCAGCTTTAGGTGACATAGGACTACTGAAAGCCAAAGAACTAGTGTAGTAGGAAAAGGTGAGGATAATAGATGCATTATACAGATCCTACATTTGTACACATCATCTTGCAATAGTTCATTAATATAATAGTAATCTTCTAGTTGAAATTTTTTTAAATTTTATTTTAGAGAGCACTATTAAACTGAATGGACTGGTGCCATCAAAATGGTATTAAATGGATTAAAAGGGGGTGACTAACAATAACATTGAAGTTGACCCAGATAAATGGTATATCATGCTCAGAATCCAAAGAATCAGGTTCTCAAGTGATATTTGTCATTCATACACATCTGTCTGCTGTTACAGTACTCAACGTTTGTGATTTTATTCTCCAAACCATCTGTGAAATTGAGGTTTTAGGTTTTATTTACAATTTTGATCTATAATTGGTAAATTTGTTTGGATTTTATAATTGTATAAGAGCTAGATGCATAAGGAGTTTATACCTAGTTCTTTGTGTATATTTAAGTAACAATTCAGATGAATGGGGAAGCGTGAGCATGAATTTTTTTTCCTTTAAAGGGTATTTATGTTACATAAGTTTAAGAAGTATGTAGGTGTCTAGTATTCTTTTCCTGTGCTATTAATTAATTGTTCTAGCCTCCTAGAATAAGTTGGGAGACTTTTAAATGTTTTTATATGCTGCGGAACAATTTATATTAGGAGCTGTCTGATACAGTACCCTGGTAAAGCTTTCAGCACCAGGTACTTTTTGGGTGTGGAGATAGGTAGACTAGCTGTTTACTTTTCCTGTAGTAATTGGTCTATTTGAGTTTCCTTCTCCACTTGAATCAATTTTGTTAATTTATTACAAAATTGTTCATTTTTTCTAGATTATAAATTTATTGGTAGTAAATTGAATATGGCATTCTCTGATAATTTGATTTTTAAAATCTTCATATCTTTACTAATGTGCCTTATTGTTATGCATTAACTTTTCTTGGGTTTGTCAGATTTTTAAAATTATTTTTAGCTTTTGTTTCTATTTAATATCTGCTTTTATAATGATCATTTTTCGCTTCTATTTTCTTTAGATTCATTTTCTAATTTCTAGTGCTTGG